CGCATTTCAAGTGCAGAGATGCATTCTGCGTGAATGCCTCCCAAATCCGCGCATGTGGTGAACATTTTGCAGTAAAAACTGGTCGCACACAGCAATTTTATACACTCGCAGAAATGCTCCCAAACATATTTTGAGGTCGCATGGATAAAATTTCGGGCGCATATGCGACCAAAATGGTCGCAATTTAGAGCCCTGCTGTCATCATGGCAAAGAGAAAATAAACCAGTGATTGTAAATGAGTCATTAATTGTGTTGAAAAAAAAGGTGTTAAACAGAAATTGTGGAAAAAATAAACAGGGGGCTAATTATTCAGGGGGGGCTATTAATTCAGGGAGGCTAATAATTCTGACTTCAGCTGTAAATACAGTATATATAGATATAGATATATAAAGTTGAACTAAGCCAGTGTATTATTGTTATATTAGATTGCTCTAGTTGTGAAAGATGCTATATATTTGTGTGTTTGGCAGTGATGCTCAGGGAAGGCTGACGGTGTTTTCAGTGAAGATGATGCTCTCGGTGCTGTGTGGAGGGAAACTGGTGGATAAACTTCGCTGTAAGTGAGATTTCAGCAGTGCTGCCCACTAGTGGACACATGTATGCATGACAACACTCATGTTCTGTGGCAGATTTAGGCCCAATCCCAATTCTATTTTTTATTACAGAATGTTGTGTGACGGCTGTACCGGAGTTATGATTATTGATTATAGATTTCGAAATTTAGCTTTTTTTTTTAAAGCATGATGGTAAAACATAAACACGGTTATGAATATATTAAAACGTAATAATGACGAAAAATACTCATTTGTGGATCTCCTTACTTCCGGGTTCAGCAATGCTACCGCTGTGGCAGGTGTATTCTGGGAAATTTTCTTACCCCTTGGTTTTGAGTGTGGTTCTGTAAAATCTTCGTTTGAAGGGCTATTCACCCCATCCCCTTAGCCCTACGCCTTCAAGCTTAAGAGAATTAGAACACCCCTACCCTTTGGCACGCACGCTCAAAACGAGGGCGAAGGGGTAGAATTGGGATTGGGCCTTAAAGTTCCTGTGAAGTTTTTTAGATGTCAGGATAAGTATGTTAGTCTTAAGGATATCTATAAGCTAGTGTGCTCCAAAACGATGGAAAAATTCACATATTAGAAGATATAAACATCTAAAGCTTGTGGTATTAATAGTTTATAAATGATTTTTCTGACATCATTTCATACTTCAGTTTCTCATCAAACCTTCTGACCAATCGAATGCTTTATAGTATCTGACATGCCCCGCCCCCATCAAGATGCTTCTCATTTGCTTTTCAATTTATGTGCTTGAGCTCAAACGCTTACTGGCAGAGCAATGATAAAACAACATGCTATTGGCTGTTTTTTGAAAAGGGGAGGAGCTACTCTGTCATGTTTCAATTCAAAGCACTTCATAGGACTTTTTAACAAGTGTGTTTGTGTGTGTGTGTGTCAGATATTTTCTCTCAGATATCAGATTCTCACGGTGCGATGGAGATGTCAAAGTTTGACCACTTCCTAAGGGAGGCGCTGAAGCTTCCTGCTGCCGTGTTTGAAGGCCCGTCGTTCGGATACTTGGATCATCTGGCCAGATCCTGTTTCCCTCAACAAGTAACCATTTTCGATGCATTCCTTCTCTTTGTCATAGTTTTATGCCGAGTTCACACTGCACAAATTTTTGCTCGCTGACAGGTTTTGGGAAATGGCCTGAAATCTGAGGTAAACTGGTGCTCATTTACATGCGCAACAATCATTCAATCGTTCATTCAGACGTAAAAACGACACTTGCGTCCAGCTGAAACTAGCAAACAACAATTGCGTTTGTTGTCAAAACTAACAGCTGGAGGGGTGTAGTTAAGAATGTTAGCCACACCCAATACCTCTGACAGACCTAATCTGAGAATTGAACTGAAAACAAACAGGAAGTGCGTTTTTAGTTTTCAATTAAAGATTACAAGGGCAAATCTTTTTTTTTTTTTTCAGTAGGATGGAAACTATGGTCCTGAGTGATTCCTGAAAATGCAAGTCAGTGGTTTGTGTGTGTGTGTTTAACAGAAGAAAGTAATGCTGAACATGTTCTTGGATGCTCTGATGTCAGATCCTCCTCCTCAGTGTCTCATTTGGCTTCCTTTGGTGCATCGGATGGGAAACGTGGAGAACGGTAACACACACACACACACACATGCATGCATGATATTATACCTTTAATTATTCATATTCCACTGGTGTGACTAAACAGCAATTTTAGTCACACCATGCTTATGAATATTCATTTTCTGTTTGAATATTCATGAATTCCAGCAGATTAAATGTCTCTCTTTGGCAGTCCATCATCCGGTGTCGTGTTCGTTCTGTCGGTCGGACGGCATGACGGGGTTTCGCTATCGCTGTCAGCAGTGTTTTAACTATCAGCTGTGTCAGAACTGTTTTTGGCGAGGTCACGCCAGCGGAAACCATAGCAACCATCATGACATGAAGGAGCATTCGTCCTGGGTGAGCTAAAGCTTTATTTTGCTTATCCGCTTACTTACTTGCGCAGTTATTTAGTTAATTTTGTCACACTTTGCTAAATGGTTTAGTTATTGTTCATATACACCCACCGGCCACTTTATCAGGCTCACCAAAATTGGACTATAAAAGATTGGAAAAATTTTGCCTGGTATGAGTCTCGATTTCTGCTGCAATATTTGGATGATAGGGTCAGAATTTGGTGTCAACAACATGAAAGCATGGATCCCTCCTGCCTTGAATAAATGGTTCAGGCTGCTGGTGCTGGTGTAATAGTGTGGGAGATATTTTCTTGGCACACTTTGGGCCCATTAGTACCAATTGAGCATCGTGTCCATCCCTTTATGACCACAGTGTACCCATCTTTTGATGGCTACTTCCTGCAGGATAACACATCATATCATATAGCGTGAATCATCTCAGACTGGTTTCTTGAACATGACAATGAGTCCACTGTACTCAAATGGCTTCCACAGTCACCAGTTCTCAATCCAGTAGAGCACCTTTGGGATGTGGTGGAATGGGAGATTCGCTTCGTGCATGTGCAGCCAACAAATCTGCATATGGAGCAAAATCTCTGAGGAATATTTCCAGTACCTTGTTGAATCTATGCCACGAAGGATTAAGGCGGTTCTGAAGGCAAAAGAGGGTCCAACCTGGTACTAGTAAGGTGTACCTAATAAAGTGGCCGGTGAGTGTAAAGCACATGTCGTTGGACTGCGGAGGAAACACACACGGGTTATAATGTATATTAAACACTATTTATTTTTGTGATGGACAGCTTCATTGCTAAACAAAATTATTAATTGACTAATAAAGAAAATAAAAACCCTTAAAGATATTGTCTATTTGCGACCCAGTGGCGCAGTAGGTAGTGCTTTCGCCTCACAGCAAGAAGGTCTCTGATTCGAGCCTCGGCTGGGTTAGTTGGCGTTTCTGTGTGGAGTTTGTATGTTCTCCCTGCATCCGCGTGGGTTTCCTCTGGGGTATCCTCCTGTGGGTTTCCCCCACAGTCCAAAGACATTCTGTACAAGTGAATTGCGTCATCTAAAGTGACTTTAATTTCTTTTAATTAATTAAGTGATGTGTTACGTACAGTGTTCTTTTAAAAGTGTTCTTTTGTTTTATATATTTATTTATTATTGTGGATGTCTGATATCTGTGTGTGTGTGTGTGTGTGTGTGTTCCAGAAATCTCCAGCTAAGAAGTTGGGTCGTGCCATCAGTAAGTCTTTGGGTTGTGTGCCGAGCAGAGAACCGTCCCACCCCATCTACCCAGAATACCCTGAGAAACCCCTCAATCTGTCCAACATAGTGTAAGACACAAACACACACACACACACACACACACACACACACATGTTGGTTTTGGTGTTTTAAATTGTCATTATATATTATATACATTATACACATTTCTGTCCCTGTAAACCACCTAAACCAGTATGAACACACACTTTCTCTCAAACACACACACACACACACACACACACACACACACACACACACAAACATTCTCTCTTTCTCTCAAGCACACACATACACACATACTCTCTCTACTTTTCTCTCAAACACTCTCTCTCTCTCTCCCTCACACACACACACACACACACACCATGGCCATTTTGGAAGCAGTGGGCATGTTTCTATTGGCTCTTGGCATCACATGATCACATTGTCTGTGTGCACTCGGTGATGTGGGTCAGACGCAATCACTCGACACACACACAGTTAGAGAACCCGTTTGCTTTTATTATCAGCGGACAGACGGGAGGTCAGTTCTCATTTTGTCTTAATTCTGCTCTCTGTTTGTCTCCATCCCAATCTTTTTTTCCCAGGATCCCGCTCTCTGTCTCTGTCCGTTCTCTCTGTGTTGCTTCAGTCTCTTAGTTGTGCATGACTGACCTGTATGTGTGTGTGGTATTTTCAAGAGTGTCCATGAACATTTCTCAACATCAGCTAATGTTTTCAAATTAAATGAACATGCAGAATCAATAGTGACAGCAGGTTTAATTACTGTCTTCTTAAAGTTGCTCTTTCTTCATATTTTTCTTTCATTTTGTCTCCTTTTAGTTGTTTTCTAGTACATTACAGTGTGCAGGAATTTAGAGTGCAATATTAGAGTGCAAAAGTGCAATATTTAATTCAGTTCATCTTTATTTCTATAGCCCTTTTACAATGTAGATTGTGTCAAAGCAGCTTCACATAAAAGCTCTAGTAGATTGAAACTGTCAGTCCGGTTTTCAGTGTTGAAGTTCAGTTTAGTTCAGTTCAGTGTGGTTTAATATTCACTGCTGAAAGTCCAAACGCTGAAGAGCAAATCCATCGATGCGCAGCTCCAAAAGTCCTAAACCAAGCAAGCCAGTGGAGACAGTGGCGAGGAACAAACTTCACTAGTTGACGGAAGTAAAGGAAAAAACCTCAAGAGAAACCAGGCTCAGTTGGGCACGGCCATTTCTCCTATGGCTGAACGCCTTGTGTAGAGCTGCAGTCTAGGGGCTGGAGGCTTGGAGAATGCTTGGAGAATGCATCCATCGTAGAGAAGCTGCCGATGGAAGAGGTCCCTGGCTGGTGTAACGACTGGCTCTTCAATCTCTAACAAGCTCTAACAATCCTTTGGAGGATTTCAAAAGCATTTGTGTTTTATGTGTATGCTAATGTAAAGAGATGTTTCTTTAAACTAGTTTTAAACTTACAGAGTGTGTCTGCTTCCCGAACTGTGCTAGAAATGCTGTTCCAGAATTTAGGTGCCAGATATGAGAAAGATCTATCGCCTACTGTTGATTTTGATATTCTGGGAATAATCAATTGACCAGAATTAATTTAGTGTAGAGGACATGATGGGCTATAATACACCAGGAGCTCCCTAAAATACTGGGGAGCTAAGCTGTTCAGGACTTTGTAGGTAGCCAATAAACATTTTTATTTATTGTAGTTGATCATTGAAAAGTGGCAGAAGATCGATTTTTTTTTTTCCATGAATCATCTGTTGAACTGCATCCCCATTATCACAAATACTGCAGAAGACCTGTTGAAACCCACATGGACCCAAGATTCTTATAGAAATCAGTCAAGTTTGCTGAAGGAAAAACCATGGTTTGGCATTATCAAAGTGCTCCAGGATTGGTCAATTCAGTTACCAGACTTGAACATTATTGAGCATGTCTGGAGTAAGATGGAGGAGGCATTGAAGATGAATCTAAAGAATCTTGATGAGCTCTGGGAGTCCTGCAAGAACGCTTTCTTTGTCATTCCAGATGACTTTATTAATCAGTGATTTGAGTCATTGCAGAGATGTATGGATGCAGTCCTCCACGCTAATGGGAGTCAGACACAATATTCATTCTGTTTCCACTGCAACTTGACTTTATATTTTATACTGGACATTATTTATGTTAAGTGTAAGCAAAGTCAGATCTTACTGTCCCAATTAAATAATTAAAAATCAAGGTTGATCATGATCATATTTTATTTTGGTAAAATAAGCGTAATCTAGAGGCCTAAGCCACTTCTGATACCAAATGACCAACTTGAAGTCAAGTAATTATTTGTGTTTCCTAAAACTTGGATTGAAATAATTGCAATAAATTATATTGTTGTTGTTGTTGTTGTTGTGTTTTTCAGGCCTCCCCGTCCAATAGGAAATATGAATGAACCAGCTCCGCCCCTTTCAACAGGCTCCTCCCCCACTAAGAGGTAAACTTCAACTTTGTCCTTTCAGATGGTGGAGCTTCTCTATTTTCTCTATTAGTTTCTTTATTTTTATGTGGATCTTCAGGTTTAAAAGTTATATTTATCCATCTTTCAACTTTCCATCTTGTTGTGCTGCCTGGAATCACTTTATAGGTCATTTATTTCTCTAATAATATTGGTCATCTTGTAGTTATGGATAGTTAATTTAGTTATTAACAACAAAAACGAATGCCTGCTATGGAATTGAGACAATATTCATTAATTATCGATTACTTATTCGTAAATGTTTTGCTGGTGATGAAACTGCTTTAATTCGATTCAATTCACCTTTATTTGTAAAGCGCTTTTACAATGTAGATTGTGTCAAAGCAGCTTCACATAGAAGATCATAGTAAATTGAAACCGTGTAGTTCAGTGTTTTTTTTCAGTGTTTAAGTTTAGTTCAGTTTACCTCAGTTCAGTGTGGTTTAATAATCACTCCTGAGAGTCCAAACACTGAAGAGCAAATCCATCGATGCACAGCTCTACAGATCCCAAACCATGCAAGCCAGTGGCAACAGCGGCGAGGAAAAAACTTCAATTGGCGAAAGTGAAGATTTAAAAAACCTTGAGAGAAACCAGGCTCAGTAGGGCACGACCATTTCTCCTCTGGCCAAACGCCTTGTGCAAAGCTGCTGTCTAGGCCCTGGAGAAGCTTGACGTCAGCGAGACTCTTCTGTCCCCGGAGCATCACAGGAATCAGTCTCATGCTCTTCACTCCTCCAAGACCACCACAGCAGCAGCTCAGGATACGGCCTGGTCCAGAATTATGGAAACCTTGGGATCATCTCGTCGCTGGTCTTGGATCTCATCAGTGGTGCTGCATTGTCTAAGGGCCTCAGGATGAGTATTCCTAGGTGGAAATGGAGAATAAAGAGAATAATTAGTGTATCTGCTGTTCATAGTGTATATAAACAAGATGCAAAAACCTGCGTGGAGCACATTCATGTAGCATACCGCTAAGTGATGGCCTGAGTGTGTGCTTTACTAAAAAGATTAGTCTTTAATCTAGTCATGAACTATGAGAGTGTGTCTGAGCCTCGAACGTTATCAGGAAGGCTATTCCAGAGTTTAGGAGCTATAAATGAGAAGGCTCAACCTCCTTTACTCGACTTTGCTATTCTAGGTACTACCAGAAGCCCTGAGTTTGAGATCTTAAAGATCGGGTTAGATTGTAGCGAGACAGAAGGTTGGTTAGATAAACAGGAGCTAGATTAAGCTAGATTAAGCTTTATAGGTAAGAAGCAATATTTTTAAATCTATACGAAACGTAACAGGCAGCCAGTGTAAGAAGGATAAAATTAGGCTGATTTGATCATATTTTCTAGACCTGGTCAGAACTCTGGCAGCTGCATTATGTACTAGCTGAAGTTTATTAATAGAGGATGCTGGGCAGCCAGCAAACAGAGCATTACAGGAATACAGCCTAGAAGTCATAAAGTTGTTGTAGTTATTACTGCTAATGCTGAAGGCTGAATGATTTGGTGAAATCTAAATGCTATTTTTCTTTTATAAAACTAATTGGGCAATTGTTTTAAATGACTTTGTCATGTTTTTAATATTTATGCAGCAACAGTTCACATTTTAGTAATGAAACAAATTATGCTATTTAATTACAGACTTATTTTTAAATAGCAAACTTATTTTAATAGACACACACACACACACACACACACACACACACACACACACACACAAATCTGTCATTTAAACTTGGGTTTTGTGTGTGTTCAGACTGCCGACTCTGGCTGCAGCTCAGCGAATGAATGAAGAACATGCTCTGATCGCTGCGTATGTCAACAAACTCCAGAGCAGCCCACGGTGAGTGTGTGTGTGTCTTTGAGGGAGAGTGCTTGTTTGAGAGAGTTTGTGCGTGTGCGACAGACAAGGTTATTTAAGGTCTTGTATATGTAATAATATTTTCTGTCTGTGCGTGTGTTTGTAGTGCATTAGACAGTCCTGTCCGATCAGATGAAGAACACAAACTCATCGCTCGCTACGCGTCTCGTCTGGCCACAGATCCTGGACACACAGCAGTGAGTTGAACGCAGTTACTATTAACACAGACATCATTTTTAAATGATAAGCATTCATTGTTATTATAGCGAAATAAAGATGAACGATTTCACCTGTGCAGACGGGGGTTTTCTTAATGGGGTTTTCAACAAATCATAAATAAACAAACAGTGGCTGTCATGTTTCTTTATTCCCGCTGCTCTTGTGAATCCCAGAGACCAGCAGACTTCAGCTACGACACCAACAAACAGCAAAGAGAGCTCATCATGCAGTTGGAGAACAAGAACCGGTAAACACACACACTCATACACATTCATATATAGATATAAACAAACACACAAATAGATATTACGTTTCAGAGCGTAATAATTATTTGTTTATTCATTATATATATAATTATTATATATACACAGATTTGTATTTTGTTTATGCATCTGGAGCTGATGTTGTGTTGGGCACTGTGGAGCAAGCGCAGGTCTCTTTCTCTTTCTCTCTCCTCTTAGAGCCTGATTGCGGTCCAGCTGTGCTGCGAGTGGGAGCGTATATAAGCGGAGAGAGGAACAAAGGACGGATTTTTCTGCTTGGTGCAGGTTGCAAATCTCCGTCGTCGTTGCTGTTATTGTTGTTCGAGCGTCTCCTATCTCCTGCCCCAGATTGTTTGTTGAATTAGTGGTGTGATTGACTGATTTCGTTAGCTGACAGTTTATTTCTTTTCTAAACTGCTTGTTGTATTAGATCTGAGTCTGTGTGCTTTGTTTTCACTTATTAAAAATATATAATATTTTTGGATTTCGGCGAGGCAGTGGCGCAGTAGGTAGTGCTGTCGCCTCGCAGCAAGAAGGTCGCTGGTTCGAACCTCGGCTCAGTTGGCGTTTCTGTGTGGAGTTTGCATGTTCTCCCTGCCTTTGTGTGGGTTTCCTCCGGGTGCTCTGGTTTCCCCCACAGTCCAAAGACATGCGGTACAGGAGAATTGGGTAGGCTAAATTGTCCTTAGTGTATGAGTGTGTGTGTGGATGTTTCCCAAAGATGGGTTGCGGCTGGAAGGGCATCCGCTGCGTAAAAACTTGCTGGATAAGTTGGCGGTTCATTCCGCTGTGGTGACCCCGGATTAATAAATGGACTAAGCCAACAAGAAAAATGAATTTTGGATTTAAATTGAAGCTGTAGGATGGCAATTGCCATTTAATTTAAAAACGTTTTCTCCTGGGGCCTCATGTACAAAGACTTGCATTGAATTCATACTAAAACATTGCGTACGCACAAAGCTGTTTATGTGCCTATGCAGTAAAATATTCAGATGTATGAAACACTGCGTGCGCGGAATCCCACGCATATTCTCTTTGTACATCCGTATGAACGTGAAACTGAGCGAACAAGCGCAAAACCGCTCCCTGCCTCCTCCACCGTATGAATATGCTAATGACTCTACTTTGGCAAAACCAAACGAAAAAGCAATGGCAAAAGCAAGCAAGAAGAGAAACTTTGAACAGAATGTGAATTGGAGGCGCTCCTATCAGAGGTAGACGGGAGAAAAACTGTGTTATTTGCAAGTGTCGTTGAAGTGAGCTAATTGAGTGATATGCCCGTTTGATCGACAGAGACAAGAAAGCTAAAGAGGGCGGTATTCACCAGCGTGAGTGGCGTAGCTCGTAACGTGCATGATAACATGTTTTGACACTGTCATTCATGAACCCTATTCGAATCCAGCGTCTGATGAACTCGTTCTTCTTTTTCCCCTATTACATATCAGATTTTGCCTACTCTTCATCACGAGGAAGACAAGTAGGAGTCATTAATAAGTGTGTGTATTATGTTAAGCCCATTTGAGCATCACATATTATTTGCACATTTATTGAATGGAAATGTTTTTTGATTTGTGTATGCAAATTCGTCTTCAGATGGCGCCTTTATAGCAATCTGCATGCAGTCGATCGCTCCGGGAAAACCGCCGATCGCTGCAAGGTGCGCTTTAATGTTTGGCTGGTCAACTGTATGGTATGGAAACATTATAAACCTGCTAGACATGCAGATGATCTCGTCCCATTTGTAGTGTGCAGTTTAACACAATTGCCTCTAGGAGTCACCAATGGGAATAAAATAAACACACGCAAGAAATACACGTACGCCAGGCATGAGGTTGGCATGGACCAACGCACATTCCCACGTTCACTTCATCGTTAGTAAATCCAAACGTTAGCGTGAAACCTGGCGTACATAAAGTTTTTGTGCGTACACAGCGTTGATACATGAGGACCCTGGTCTGTGTTACGTTCCGGCCAGTCTAGGGTTGGCGGGAACAATAACAAAAGTATAAATAAATAAATGAATTAAACTTTTTAATACTTCCCCTTCTCCTGTCCCAGCTCACAATGATCACAACAAGTTTATCAAGAAATAACAAGGTTTATTTTTTTAAACAATAAAGGTCTCAGAAGCATCTCTTTAGAAGGGAATCCAGGCCAAAATAATAAACAAAAAGCACGCTAACTGGCGGGGAAATATTCCTAACTTACATGTTAAAATTAAAAGTACCCCAAATAAAATTAAAACAAAACTTTCCTTTCTCCCTCGATGCCACAAACCAAGAGAAAATGTTTTTAAATTAAATGGCAATTGCCATCCTACAGCTTCAATTTAAATCCAAAAATATTATATAATTTTAATAAGTGAAAACAAAGCACACAGGCTCAGATCTAATACGGCGGGCAGTTTAGAAAAGAAATAAACTGTCAGCTAAATCAGTCAATCACACCACTAATTCAACAAACAATCTGGGGCAGGAGATAGGAGACGCTCGAACAACAGCAACGGCAACGACGACGGAGATTTGCGACCTGCACCGAGCAGAAAGATCCGTCTTTTGTTCCTCTCTCCGCTTATATACGCTCCCACTCGCAACACAGCTGGACCGCAATCAAGTTCTAGAAGGAGAGAGAAAGAGAGACCTGCGCTTGCTCCACAGTGCACAACACAACATCAGCTCCAGATGCATAAACACAATACAAATCTGTGTATATATAATAATTATATATATAAAATAAATAAACAAATAATTATTACGCTCTGAAACATAACAAAACACACACACACACACACACACACACACACATACACACACACACATACAAACATACATACATATATATTTATAATACACAAACATCTATACATACACACACACACAAACACATATACATATACACACACAAATGCATATAACTTATACATGCACACCTTCAGAAGCCATGTCTGTCTGTTGGGGTTCAGTCTAAAGTGAGTGTGTAAGTGATAAAACATTCATCTGTGTGTGTGTTTTTAGGGAGATTTTGCAGGAGATCCAGCGTTTGCGAGTGGAGCATGAACAGGCATGTCAGCCGACTCCAGAAAGAGTCCAGCAGAACCCCACACTGCTGGCAGAACTCAGACAGCTCAGGTAACACACACACACACACACTAAAGCCAATTTAGTTTATTCAATTTACCTATAGTGCATGTCTTTGAACTGTGGGGGAATCCGGAGCACTTAAGAACATGCAAACTCCACACAGAAATGCCAACTGACCCAGGCGGGGCTCGAACCAGTGACCTTCTTGTTGTGAGGCGACAGTGCTAACCACTGAGCCACCATGCCACCATATCTTCTTTATCCTATACTAATAAACCATACATCAGTGGGAAGTTTATTCATTAAGCTTTCAGGTGATGTATAAGTCTGCAAAAAAAAAAAAAAAAAAAAAATATATATATATATATATATATATATATATATATATATATATATATATATATATAGACACCTACGACATTTATGACTTCATGCTCAAAGCTCACAAATTAGTAGTTGCTGACGTTTGCCTTTATATGGCAGTATGGATATTTTAGAAAACAGTGGTTGTGTTTGTGTGCTTACAGGCAGAGGAAAGATGAGCTGGAGCAGAGGATGTCGTCTCTACAGGAGAGCAGAAGAGAACTCATGGTGCAGCTAGAAGGACTCATGAAACTACTGAAGGTATACACTCACACACACACACACACACACACACACACACACACACATGACTCAAGACAGAATTACAGGGACATTTCAAGCATTATTTCTATTGATATACAATGATATACAACAAATGTACAATAAACTGTATCATTAATGTAAAATCATTCAAAATACTTAATTAATGGAGAACATTTGATTCTGTTACTGTTGTTTAGCTTATTGTTAAACTTTTTAAACCATAGTAGAGTTCACAATAATATGCTGCGTCCCAATTTGCATACTTATACTACACTTAATATAAATAATCCATGTTCTAATGAATGTTTTTACATTACTGTGAGGGTTGAGGTTTGGGGTAGACCATATTAAAATACAAATAATGAATACTTTTGTGAATAATATGAAAAATTCTCTTTCATAACATCCGGCAGCAGCTGTATCCCTTTTAGCAACAATTGTTTTGCCCCACTAGAGGGCGGCACTCTCGTTAGCATTTAGCATCAGAGCTGCCGTCTTTCCTCACACACTTGATCTAGTTTCCTACTCTATTTCCATTTCTTCTCTTATCAGACTTCATAATAGTTGCTCTCATCATCTTTTCCTCTGTTTTCCCACTCTCTCTCTGTTCTTTTCCCCTGTCTCTGTTCTGTTCCTGTAGGATGAGGAGCAGAGACAAGCTGTAAGTGTGATTTACTGTGTATGTGCACGTAGCTAGCATGCTGTATAACGATATGTGAACGCAGATTAACTCTGAAGTTATGAAATTAAGAGAGAAAGTAATAAAGTAAATAAATAAAGATATAAAATAAATAATATAAAAATTAGTAAATAAAATGATAAAACCAAAATGATGCTACTGCTCACTCATATGTAATGTTATGAATATGAATGAGTGAGCAGTAGGGCTATATATACTGTATATATAGTGCTCAACTCAAATATTAATATTTTTATCCATTTCTCACTGAATATAGCCAATAATTTTGGTGCATTTAAGCTAAACAGTTTAATTAAACAGATATACAGTGCATCCGAAAAGTATTCATAGCACTTCACTTTTTCCATATTTTTAATGTTAACGTTACAGCCTTATTCCAAAATGTATTAAATTAATTTATTTCCTCAAAATTCTACACACAATACCCCATAATGACAATGTGAACAAAGAGTTTTTGAAATTGTTGGACATTTATTTAAAAAAAAAAAACCTCAAAAATCCATAACAAAAGTGTTCACAGCCTTTGCTCAATACTGTATTGATGCACCTTTGGCAGAAATTACAGCCTCAAGTCTTTTTGCCCATTCCTTTTTGCAAACTTTTCTTTCGATCTCTCTCTTTTGTATGTTGTTGCAGTGCTGTATTTATAATATGGTATTATTGTGATCTCCCAATTGCAACAGAGAAATGCTGTGAAATCTCTGTAGACTGATGGCATTTCATGCCGTTCAGCCTCATAATCTTAAAATGTGAGCAAAATCACCTGTTTTGTCATCACTTTAGACCAGGGGTCACCAATCCTGGTCCTGGAGGGCCAGTGTCCCTACAGGGTTTAGCTCCATCTTGCCTCAACACACCTGCCTGGTTGTATCCAGTATACCTAGTAAGACCTTAATTAGCTTGTTCAGGTGTGTTTGATTAGGGTTGGAGCTAAAATCTGCAGGACACCGGCCCTCCGGGAACAAGTTTGGTGACCACTGCTTTAGACATTACTCTAGAGAATCATTCAAATACTCGCTCTAAAGTTACATTAGTGAATTAGTAATGATTTCTGCTGTTCTTACGTCAGCTGCAGATGTGAATGAATGGCGAAAATTAGTTTCTCTTACAAAAGGGTTTTTGGACTCTCCATGTTTGACTTTCCTTTTTATATACACGATTATGCTGTCGAAGTGTTGTAGAAATGCAACATCACACTCGTAGCAGTGCGATGTGGCTTTATATCATCACTGGCCTATTTTGTGCATTCATGTAACAAGTATGTCTCCAACATTTATTAGATTTGCTAGGAATATTTATGAATGTCTCCAAAAATACCCACAGAGCCTTAAAGTATCTTAAAAGTGTCTTAAAGTAAAGTGAAACGGCTATACGTCGTGTTTGCTGGCCTCCCGCATCACGCACCTGTTAGTCAGCCAACCAGTCAGTCAGCACGTAACCTTAAAGAGTTAAACAAACAGCGCACAGCACTACTACGGTTACAGAAAAGTTTGCACTGTTATGATTCACTTACCTTTTAATACATTTTGGTGCAACTATAACCTGCTATTAAAAAAAAAGAAACACGACAGAATGTTATGAATGAAAAGCTGTAATGTAGCCGTGGCGGGATCAATTTTGGCATGGCGCCTCGCCATGGAAGAATTAGTGAAGCGGAAACCATGCTTATATATGAAGAGTTCAGATGCAAAAACCTCTAAGTGCCGTCTAAAATTTCCATCCAAAATTAGCATTTTCATCAGACTCTTATGATTATGTTGAGTTATATCATTTTAAAGACCTTTAAAAGAGTGTATTCTTTACCATAAACTTGAAATTACAAAACCTACACACAGGAGCCTTATAAAAATGCTAATTTTTGAAGGAGATTTCAAATGGCTTTTTGCAGAGGTTTTTGCATCTGAACTCTTTTAGATAGACAGACAGACAGACAGACAGACAGACAGACAGACAGACAGACAGACAGACAGACAGACAGACAGACAGACAGATAGATAGATAGATAGATAGATAGATAGATAGATAGACAGACGGATGGACCCTAATGGCTCTTAAAAAATGCATTTGCCTAAATAAAACAGAAATAGCTCCCTGCTGTAAAGCATTCTTTAAAAAATATACATTCAAAAGATAGATCTGTGAGGGGTCTACTCGTATATGCTGAGCACTGTATGTTAAGACATATGAGTATTTTAGTAAGACATAATAAATATGGGCACAAAAGAAATGATCATCTTTGTTGTGCATGTGAGAGAAATTGGTCACTGTTCATGTATAGGACAGTTTTTTTTTTCCCGTCGTTTTTCCATTTATTATTTTTTTCAATTGGGCTTGTTTATATATATTTTTTCCTTCTGATGTTTACCTTCCAGTGTCTGCTGCTGTGTGTGCTCACTAATGATTAACGCATCTCGTGTGTCTTGTTTACTTTCTCTCTTATTTCTCCTGATTGGCTTTAGTTTTAACAGAAAATAAAGTCTTTGTTAATATAAACAGACTTTACACACATTTACTCACAGTGAGAGTTTGAACCTGTTTAGCAGATGTTTATCTGATTTCTCTCATAGGCTCAAGCCGCTGGCTCTTCCCCAAGCCACGCCTCCCCTCACTCCATGCCGATGCCCATTCGCTCACCTTCCTCAGGCCCCGCCCCCACATACACAGGCCACACCCCCACCCATGGGCCCCAGGACTCTTTAGCTGGAGTGGGTGGAGACGTTCAGGAAGCGTTTTCTCAGGGTAACATCTTCATTTTAAATTGATAAAGCAGTGTTTTTATATCTAATAAACCATGGAACGTGATTTATCTTTATTTTTATGTTTGTATTCCACAGGACCTCGCAGAAACCTACGAAATGATCTCCTGGTGGCGGCGGACTCAATCACGAACACCATGTCATCACTGGTTAAAGAGCTTAACTCAGGTTTGAAAGCACACAGAAAGTTGTTCCTCATCTGTCCTGTTGCATTATGGGTAGTTTTTTTTTTTTTTTTCAAAGCAGACGAAAAATATGAAAGTTTACTTCAGAAATTAGTGCTTTGTTTAATATTCTGCATTCACTTTGATTTCTTTTTCATGTACCCCTTTGGGATTTTTCTTTTTTTCTCTTTCCTTTCTTTCTGTAGCCATGTTAAACTATTTTACATTTAATTCATAACTCCCTTTTTGCAAAAACACATTCTCTATACCAGTGGTCCCCAACCTTTTTCTAACTGTGGACCGGTCAACGCTTGACAATTTTACTGCGGGGTGGGGGTTGGACGAGCGCGTGCACGTCTAGAACGTGCTGACGTGAGACGTCTGCTTTAGCCAATCAGAACAGTCAGACGCGTTCACATCCGCGCGGTTTATGAGAATAAAAGCCTTTGAATATTTTTCCAGACACATTTAGCTGATAGAAATTAGGCAGGTAACGATTATATGTTCATCTTAATGCCAACCGTGTAAATAATCGTCGATCAGATGCTTACGATAAGCCGTTGTTTGTTTACCTTCAAGCTTTGCGTGTGCCCGTGAAACAGCCTGTCAGCGCCAGAACACACATATCATGTACATCTCGACATGGCAACAGGGTTTTCAGTGCTGTGTTGGCGATCTCTAGGTATTCTGCCATTACTTTAATCCAGACCACCGGCAGAGTTGTTGTCTCGAACACTGTTTTAAGGCCGCCGTCATTTACGATCTCCAGCAGTTGGTCTTCTTCTTGCACAGACATGCTGGATTCAACTGGTTTGTTGACAAATGGGTCACGTATCCATTCCCTAGCCGTTTGTGGGTCTTTTGAGGTTGGGAAGTAGCGCTCAAACTCCTTTAACAGCGAAGACTGATGATCGTGCAGCAGCTTGGTGAGTGAGGGCGCAGGCTCAGTCTCACACAAAATCCCCGCTAATGTTTGAAACATGTCCAATTTGCCTCAGTTTGGCTTTAAATGCAGCTACTTTATCTGCCAACTTAAAGAAAATTAATTCTTGTGCGGCCCGGTACTGACTGAGCCACGGACCAGTACCGGTCCGCGGCCCAGGGGTTGGGGACCACTGCTCTATACTATACTTTTTTTAAATGTATGTTTGTACACGTCATGTTTTTTTTCCTGGGAATAATATTTCTTAAAGAGCTGTTGACATGGAATTGAACCAGATTTTAGTAAAAACCCAAACAATACAAACATAAAAATAAAACAAAACAAAAAATATCAGGAAACTGACTTATGTGTAATAACAATGAAATGACAGAAGGAGAAAGCACTGAACTACTAAAATGCATTTAATACTTCATACAAAAGGCTTTTTTGGTGCTGCCAGCTTAAAGATGCCTCTCATATGGAGAATGAAGTCACATGCATTGCATAGGTGTGAGTTTTTCACAGACTGTGTCAGCAATCTTGATGGTTCTGTGGGGCTCGTCTATCAAATCTGAGCTCTATTTTGTATTTTCTATTGGATTCAGGTCAGGTGATTGGCTGGGTCATTCTACAGCTTGATTTTCTTTCTCTAAAAGTATTTGAGAGTCTCCTTGGCTGTGTTTTGGATCATTGTCTTGCTGAAATGTCCACCTCTGGGTTCATCTCCATCCTAATGCTTATGTAGATGTTGGACTGAAGCGGCTGATATTTATTTACAATGAGGAAGGGCAGAAGGTTGCTGAAGAACTACTGAGAGATTTCAGCTGCTGTCTGGGCTTTCACTGCCTTTTAAACCTTCCTTTCTTCATGTGTTCAATACCTTTTTTGCCTGCCTCATTTCATTTTATTACACAACTTTATTTGTAAACTAATTAGTTTGTTTGCTTTACATAAATGGATTTTTTTGGTTGTTACCATCATTTTGTGGAAATTTCAAGTCAGACAATTTAGACACACGTAAAAATGGTGACGTGTTCAATACTTATTTTTCCTATTGTATATTTATATATATTCCAAAATTAGTACTCAATCAATTCAAATATTTTACATTAAACAATTAGTGTACACAATACTGTAAATATATTGAGAATTTATAAATATCAAGTGCCACAAAGAGAACTTAAAAAACTGAAATAGACAACTCATGTCAATTTGACTACTTTTGGATTATCATCATAGATATATGAATGAGTAAATACATTTTTATGCAATGTTTTTTTTGTGTGTGTGTTAATAATGTTTCATGAGTTAACTTTAATCTTATTTTTATATTTTCTGTTTTGATTCTGATTTTACATTTGGGTAATTTTATTAGGGACAGTTGAAGTCAGAATTGTTAGCCTCCCTGTTTACTTTTTTCCCCAATTTCTGTTTATTGGAGAGATGCTTTTCAACACATTTCTTAGCATAATAGTTTTAATAACTCATCTCTAATCACTGATTTATTTTATCTTTGTCATGATGACAGTAAATAATATTTGACTAGATATTTTTCAAGACACTTCTATACAGCTTAAAGTGACATTTAAAGGCTTAAATAGTTTAATTAGGTTAGGGTAATTAGGCAAGTTATTGTATAATAATGGTTTGTTCTGTAGACTATCGGAAAAATATATAGCTTAAAGGGCCTAATAATTTTGACCATAAAATTGTTTTTAAAAATTTAAAAACTGCTTTTACTCTAGCCAAAATAAAACAAATAAGACTTTCTCCAGAAGAAAAAATATTATCAGACATACTGTGAAAATTTCCTTGCTCTGTTAAACATCATTTGGGAAATATTTAAAAAGAAGAAGAAAAAAAAGTATAAAAATAATTCTGCCTTCAACTGTACATTTTAGATAGATTATATATGGATTAGATACGTTTATATTTTATTTTAGCATTCATTTTTTTATTTTAGTTGGGTAATTAATAGTACTTCACATTTAAATTCAGTTAGTTGCCAGGGGTAACATTTAGGATTTTAATTTAAACCATAAGCATCCTTATCAGTATAATAATAATAATAATACAATAAAATAATGATGATGATTCTTTCTCTTTTTTATTATTTCCTCATTCATTCATTTTCCTTTGGCTTAGTCCCTTATTTATCAGTTTCCCAGTACTGGGTTTCAGCCGGAAGGGCGTCCGCTGTGTAAAACATATACCAGAATAGTTGGCGATTCATTCCACAGTAGTGACCCCTGATAAATATGGCACTAAGCTGAAGAAAAAGGAATATGTGATCCCTATTTATCAGCGGTCACCGCAGCTGAATGAGCCGCCTCTTTTTATTTTTTATTATTTTTACTATTACTATACTTTTAAATAGTTTTGTTAGTAAAACAAATGTAAAATAATATATTTTTTATTATTATTTTATATTTTGTAAGATGTTATTCTCTTGTGTGGTCTGTAGCAGAAGATGGAGATGAAGATGAAAGACTGTTGCAGAATGGCAAAGACAGAGGTACCTTCACATCAGAACTACATTACCCAAAATGCACCTGTGCTACTGAATCCAGACCTGCGTGGCCTTAAAAGAGTTGATCTCGTTACACGAACATAAGTGATTTTCATGAGATTTATCCTCCATACACACAACAAAAGCTCATAATGTTTTACACGACAGGTTTGTGTGAGTCTGGCGTGTGTCTGTTCTGTCTGAGGGGGCTTGTTAGTGCTTAATTACTCGTTAGTATTAACGAGGAGGCTGTTTACGAGTGTACTAGAGGGTGCTGGATGTTTTTTTAACTACTTCCTGTAGGGTCAGAGAAGTCCACATGCTGAAGCTTTATGAGCAGAACCCGTACTGGGAAACACCTTCATTATAATCCTTTCTCCGCCATATTCATTCATCTCCCCATCCAGCTCCGTCGCTTATGTTTTATTGGTCTGCTTCTGAAGGCCTTTCTCTGCCAGTTTTAGACGCCATCAGTCAAATTAGGCTTTTAAACATGAGTTTGCTCAAGATTGCAGTAGCTGGAATCATTTACTAAATGAGTTTAAAGGAGCGCTCCTTTTTTATTTTGTAAATAGACTCATTTTATAAGCTTTCTAGAGTTAAACAATTGAGTTTTTGTTTGGTCGTTTGATCTCTGGGTCTTTGTTAGCTTAGCTTAGCATAGATCATTGAATCGGATTAGACCATTAGGATCTTGCTCAAAAATGACCAAAGAGTTTCAAGAGTCTTCCCTATTTAAAGCTTGACTCTTCTGTAGTTACATTGTGTACTAAGACTGATGGAAAATGAATAGATGCTATTTTGTAGGTTGATATGGCTAGGAACTGTACTGTTGTTTACTCAGCCATGGTGGGGCAGCAAAGATTACTATACTTGAATGAGAATATAGTTCCAAGACAGTTTAACTTATAAATTACTAACTTTTTATTTCCATCCAACTATGTACAACCAACATTTTCCATCGGACTTTGTACATGATGTAACTATAGAGTAGTCGAACTTTTAATTTTTTAATTTTTTTGACCGAGTTGCTAATGGTCTAATCTGATCGAATGAATTATGCTAAGCTAAGCTAGCATTGCACCTAACACACAAGGATATCGGATGACAGTATTTAAAAAATGATCAAACTCAGCTGTTAGCTTGGCATATATCATTGAATCAGATTAGACCATTTGCCTCTCTCTTTAGCTTAGCATAGATCATCGAATCTGATTAGACCATTAGCATCCCATTCAAAAATGACCAAAGAGTTTCGATATTTTTCCTATTTAAAGCTTGACTCTTTTGTAATTACATTGTGTACTAAGACTTTCGGATAAGACGTTAAACCGAGGTCCTGACTCTCTGTGGTCATTAAAAATCCCACGGCACTTCTTGTAAAGAGCAGGGGTGTAACCTTGTAACCAGGGGTGTAATCCTTGCCAATGTCCCTCTATTGGCTCGTACGATCATGGCCTCCCAATCGTCCCCATCCTCTGAATTGGCTCTATCACTGTTACTTCACTCCACCAATAGCTGTTGACAGTTCAACCTAGAAAGCAGCAACTTTTTTTTCCATCCAACTTTGCACAACCAACATTTTCCATCGTTCTTTATACACAATTAACTACATAATAGTCAAGCTTTAAGTAGGAGAAAGTATTGAAACTCTTATTTTTTTAAGGGAAGATGCTAATGGTTTAATCTGATTGAATTATTTATGCTAAGCTAACACTGCACCCAACACACAAGGATATTGGATTTATTCAAAAATGATCAAATTTAACTGTTAGCTTAGCATAGATCATTGAATCAGATTAGACAATTAACATCTATGTTAGCTTAGCTTAGCATAGATCATTGAATCGGATTAGACCATTAGCATCTTGCTCAAAAATGACCAAAGAGTTTCAACAGTTTTCCTATTTAAAGCTTGATTCTTCTGTAGCTACATTGTGTACTAAGACTATATAATAGATGCTATTGTCTAGGTTAACATGGCTAGGAACTGCACTGCTGTTTACTCAGCCATGGTGGGCCATTAAAGATTACTATACTTGAATGAGAATATAGTTCCTAGACAGTTCAACCTAGAAATCAGCAACTTTTTTTCCATCCAGCTTTGTACAACAATTTTCCACAGCTCTTTGTACACAGTGTAACTATAGAATAGTCAATTTCTTTTTATTTTTTAAGTGAGATGCTAATGGTCTAATCTGATTGAATGATTTATGCTAAGCTAAGCTAACACTGCACCCAACACACGAGGATATCAGATGAATGTATTCAAAAATGATCAAACTCAACTTTTAGCTTTAGCATATCATTCAAAAATGACCAGAGTTTCGATATTTTTTCTATTGAAAGCTTGAGTCTTCTGTGCTTACACTGAGTACTAAGACTGACAGAAAAAAAAATAGATGGTACAGTATTTTCTAGCTTGATATAGCTAGGAACTGTACTGTTGTTTAATCAGCCATAGTGGGGCAAGAACGATTATTATACTTGAATGAGAGTTTAATTCCTAAACATTTCGACCTAGAAATTAGCAACTTTTTTTCCATTCAACATTAGCACAATCAACATTTTCCATTGGTTTTAGTACACAATGTAACTAATGTCAAAACTCTATTTTTTTTTTTTCAAAATAAAAGATCATTCAGACTCAGGAACACTAACTTATACAACTTTCCTTATTTTGTTCATTTTTTTTCCAGGTTAGGCAAAAAACAATGAAGCCACCAGTTTCAAGTAGGTACCACACAGGATGAGATTTATCTGTTGTTGTTGTTTTTATTTTTAACATATTAATTACTTTTTTTGCATTTTTTTTTAGGTGTGACGTCACCACGCAAACCTGCTGATGGCATCACCAAGAAGACAATGAGCTCTGAACCCAGGCTCAGCCAATCAGATTCGACGGATTTGGCTTCCTGTGGATAGCTTGAGAAGGAAAAATGTTGTTATTTTTCAAAGTTTAAAATTTTTCATGACGGTTTAGTTTTGCGATTGAGATTGAAGCTATACGTAGTCTTCATCGCAGGCCTGCTAGTTTTGTCTTATTATTCTCATGTGTGTTTTCTTGAAGTTTGAAAGCTTTTGATGCGCCCAAATATGGGACGGAATGAACTCAATCGGAATGGAATGGAAGGCAATAGAATGTGTTTGACGGAGACGTGTGAGGAGTTGAATGGCTGACTGAGGTATGTGGGCGTGGTTTGTTTATGTGGGAGTGGCCATGTTGGAATTTAAGACTAAAAGTGGCCTTCTAAAGGAGCTGAGTTAAAGAAACGAGTGGAGTTGTGTACTGTAATTTATTTTTTCAATCGCCGTTTATTTATTTTGGTCAAACAAACAGCATTTTCAGTGGACATTTTGCTCATTTCAAATTGATTGCGCATTTATGTATATTTAAGATCAGAATGATTTAGTTTTCTAGGTTTTTCGAACAGGTACTTTGATAAAGAGGCGGATTTGCGTGCTGGAGAGTTTTATTTGATGTTTTGTGGATTTTTCTAGAAGCACTGTTTGTAGTCACTGTTTCCTGTGAACAAACTTTTCTCACCTACAAACATTTACGCACACATCTGACCTGCTGTGTGTTTTCCTGGAGGAGTGTGTGTGTTTGTGTGCCTCCTTTATAGTTGTGTGTGTGTGTGTGTTGGAATGTGAATCATACTGATGCCTTTGTTTGATTTGAATGCTAAATACCTGCCAAATATGATTTGTTGATTTTAGTTTGAGGTTTTTAAATCTTGTTATTTACGCCAAATTTATTCACAGACTCGTTTGTTTCTGGACCGTCATGTAATTTTATCTGCGGTACACAGGCCTTGATGACATCACTTCCTGTGGCCTTCTGTGAAAACTGGCTGGCTTGAAGGAGTCGATCATTACGGTGCCGGTAGTCGTAGTGTTTCGTGATTTTTCCACCAAACAGATGTCTTTTTTAAGGCTAATTTTACGGAAATGACTCTGGATCGAGGCTGTGATTCACACGCATGTGATTGATGTGCTGTGTTCAAAATAAATGATGTCATGAAACGGTAAATAAGGCTGGAGTATTGTATCTTTCTGTTGGACGTATTTGTCTTTGTGTTTCATTTTGGCTGTGTGGTAACCAAGCGGCAACCTCCCGCTCTCTCTCAGGAAGCCAATACGGAAGTAACTAAAACTGCAATTCATCCGAAATTCCGCTAGTCCTGGCTGCTCCTGGCTCCAAAACAGAGCAAATTTTAATTGAGCCCACTGTTAGAATGGCCAACTTTACAGCAGAAAAAAAGGTGTTTACAGCCTGGTACAAAAAAAGATTTTGGTTAATACAGCTAATATTACCCTTCATGACAACTGTGTGGGGGGTGAATTTTTTTATAACTCATCCGTTTCCTTTATATTAAGTTATATTAAGTTTGCATAATTAAGGGCGTGGTCACTTGAGTGACAGCTAGGTCTCGCTGGTCGCCGTTACGTCACCACAGCTGAATCCTGCAGATTAGCCACTGAACTCGGCGTATTTATCGTATTTTTGTGTTGTTTTATGTGGCTTTACACAGTCGACTGCCTTTTGGACTTGTTTGCTACAATTATTTGATGGAATGGCATGCTGAGGGCACTTAATTGTGCTCACAAACCATTCACGTGGCCTCCGTTCCCCATGTGAGTAAATTTATATACTTATATACCATCTCTATACATGTATTTGTTTTATTTAAGATCATTTATCGTTTATATTTATATTTAGAGCTGTAATGTACTCCAGAATCTGTCAGACTGATTAGCTGTATGCTCTAGAACAGTCATCTGAAGCGTTGTCATACAGTGTTATGCTGGATTTCATTAATAGTCTTACATTAACTAACACAGACTATATCTGAAGTGTTTGGATGTAATTTGCGTTTTCCTCCTGTTGAAAAACGTCATAAGAACAATGTTTAGTGGCTCAATGTATTACAGCAGTGTTTTTAAAAGTCTAAACACTTTATTGATATAGTGTACAACCAAGCACAAGTGGTCAGAATACAAACGAGTCACAGGTGATAAAGTATTAAGCGTTCTCCCAAAGTAAACCAGGTGTCTGAACCAGGTCCAACCTAAATGCAGCATGCGTCTGTAGCTCCGCTCACTCTCCCCCTCTTTGCCCATGTTTGGTATCCCGCCGTCGGCGTGATGACGCGCGAACAAAATGGCGACGGTTGGCCACGCCTGCTTGTGGCTTCTTTTGCGCTCTTTAGAAACCTATGGGTGACGTCACGGATACTACGTCCATATATTTTACAGTCTATGGTGGTAACCCGTACCTTTTTATTTAACAGTGAATTGTTATTCATTTATCACTCAATTCAGTAATGCCATACACTTGTTTTTTTTTAGGGGGAAAGTAATTTAATTACAATAGTTGCGTTGTAACTAATAATACGCAACACTGATCTCTGCCGAACAACATATTATTGTCATGGTGGCTTGAGAAAGTCAACATACTGTTATACTACATAAACTTCTGTTTTCTTCTTCTTCTTAGGCTATTTTAAGAACGCATCTCCTCCTAGTCCGCTCATACTACAACCACAAAACTATCTCTAAACCTCCAAATTATACTGAATTAAGTTGCTACATCATTTCCAACTGATCCAACTTATGGTTTTCTGAAAACTGACTCGGAAAATTCTGAAATGTCTCATTGATTTAACATTGGAACACATGTTGTGAGCTCATAATTTTGCACCAGACTGTCATACAGACTTAAGCCTGGTTTATACTTCTGCGTCAAGTGACCGGCGTAACCCACGGTGCAGGCAACGCGCGTAGCTGTGCATTTATACTTCTGCGCACTGTCTCTGTTGGTCTCAATAAACACTTCCAAAACGCTAGTTGGCAGTGAGGTGTAAATGTTCCTCTGTGTCGAGTTTCTTCTGCTGTTTTGCTTTTCCTGAACACTTCCTGGATGTACAAGTGGCTCAAACTCGCTCATTTTGAGGCAGGAACCGGCAGACGTGCAACAACTTTAACCATGAGGTAAACACAAAACAAAACTTTCCATCAGGAGCTCCTTCATGGGACTCCACACTTGTTGACAATTGACCCATTGGGCTCGCGTCCAGCTCGCGCCATTAGCACGGCTCTCGGTCCTGCCCAGACTCGTCAGCGCTACCAAGCCGACCAATCACAGAGCTTGCCCTACGCGTCGTTGCGACGTGTAGTTACAATTTTTGAGAGGTGCACGTCACCGACGGCCACGGTGAAAGGCTATGCGTCAGCGTCGTGGTATACGCCGGCGTTTGACGCAGAAGTATAAATCAGCCTTTACGGTTGGGCTCAACTCAGACTACCAACTTGTCAATCACTGATGACCTTTCAACTTACTAGCCACACCCTAGTAGCCATTTACAGCACCCTAGCAACTGTCCCATAGACCAACCAGGCCAAGGCCGGCCAAGTGAACCGTGCCTGAGCCCTATTCAGAGCACTCACATTTCTCAAACGATCCGGGAAATGGGCCTTGGCACAGTTCGGATAGCATAGTGTGAGTAGGCCCTAAAAAGGCCATGAACCCTCCTGTCTCAGCAGGGTGTTTTCAAACCTCTAGTTTGAAAAAAGTCAGGAAAGTGTGCGAGTCCAGATTTGTTTAGGTGGGAGTGTCGAGTGGCGAAAGAAGGAAGGGTTTGCATGAAAAGGGGAGTTTCATTATATGCACTACAGCTGATTTTCACAGTGAGAACACTAACACAGATGCAGGGGAGATAGACAGTGATTTGAAGAGCAGCATTTACAGCGGATCCAAGAGCTGTGTGGAAGTGGAGGATTTTCAGTCCATAATATTGTATTGATATTTCTGTAAACTTATTAACTAAATCAAAGGTCTGTCTGAGTACTGCTGACGATACTAACTAACTTTGCCTCTGAATAAACAAACAACACTGATCACACACTCACCAAAATTCGCAGAGACGGGAAAATCAACACCAACTAAACCGCATCTTTTTTAAAAGGAGACGAGCAGCAAATCCGGATTTCACCATTTCCAGATGCGAAAAGCTCTCGGGTAAAGAATGTTCCTTATAAACGTATTTCTGTCGCATGTTAGCAGACCACTGTAATCCACACGTCCACGCGCAATCGCTGCTCTCATTGCACAGAAATGAAAAAAAAAACCTTCGTTGCGGCACATTTATAAACGCAAAACAGACGACCCTTGTCTCCAAACAATACTTCTTCCACTTGTTTTAACTACGGTTGGCAACACAACGTGTTTCTCTGAACACTGTAACAAGTAAACAGTCTTCGAAGCTATTACTAAAGCAACTTCATTAAAATGCTTCGATGCAAATTAATGAAGTTGCACCTCACTCGCAATAGAGCGCGCTGATTGGTTCGAACCAAGTCTTTCTCATGAATTAATAAACAGATGTGCTAAAAAACTCAAAGACGTAATCGGCTGTTACAGACAGCCAGTATACATGCTGGAGTTTACACAATATCATGGCTGTGATGTTGCTTCAATTTTTTTTTTTTTAACCGGAGGTACGACTTTGCTAGAAATAACGCAAAAAACAGCCAATTTTCACTTGTTGGCTAAATACATGTGTCCTAATAGTTTTTTAAGCAAAGTGCGACACATATATGACTGTCAACATCTCAAAAAATGTGTTTTGGTGTTTTGCAACCTTTTAAATAAGTAGTTTGACATTTTTTTAAGTGTAGTTAAGTCTTTATAGGTTTTTGTGCATGTTTTGAGAGCTGAGTGCTGTAAACGGCTCTCTCTGAGCACCTGTGTGACGGAAACAGAGGGTCGCAGCGTCTCGACACACTGCCAGCGTGAGCAGGCGTGACGTGGACTGAATTTTAATGAGCGCAGCGTGAACAGACGCGTCGCTGGAGGGAATGTGTGTGTGTGTGTAACGCTGCAGATACTCAATCAAGGACACACTCCTCGTCTGTGTCTCCGCTATTGTGTTTGGCCCTTTGTGGAGGTCATGCAGAAATGCCTATAGCTGAAGACAACATTATTAGCTCTCCTGAATTATTATTTCTGTTTAATGGAGAGAAGATTTTCTCAACACATTTCTAAACATAATAGAAATAATAACTTATTTCTAACAGCTGATTTCTTTTATCTTTGCCATGATGACAGTAAATAATATTTGACTAGATATTTTTCAAGATGCTATTATTCAGCTTTAAGTGATAATTAAAAGCTTAACTAG